AGCTCTTGGAAGCTACCTTTGTTTTTGCCCCCCCGGACCCCCCCACCATCGAACTCATGGCCTTGAGCTTGCCAGGCAGGCACTGTGCCGCTGAGCTAAAGCCCCAGACCCTGGAAGCTACCTTGAACGTCAGGCTTTAGACTGGACTGCATCAAATCAAGGGCGAGTCTATGACACGCCCATAAGTGACTGCCTGAGATGAGTTTGACCACCGCCCAATGAGAGCACATTCCTCCCGGAGGAGACCACAGCTGGGCTGCTCCTTGTTCCAAAGATGTTTTCTTTATTGGTGCCCAATCTACTTTCCATGAAATTTTTACTGAGTGAGTCATATGTCTGGCCTTTGAAGTCAACCTTCAGAGGTGACACTGATGGTGGCAGTTTGTGGTTAGGCGTACGCAAGTGTTTAACTTTTTTCATTTTTGCTTTGAATTGTGGTCTTTAAAAAGTCCTATAATTTACCCTCTTACCCAGTTTTAAGTGTACTATTACCTATATTTGCATTGCTATATAATAGATCTGTAGTCAGGCGTGATGGTACCCACCTGTTATGGTTTGTGTCTAGATGTCCCCCCAAAGTCTCAAGCAGGTCAGAGGGCTTTTCAGAGGTACCTGAATCTAGAGTGTGTGATGCTGGGATTAAGAATGTGAGCGCTACACCCAACCGAGGGCAGGTAGCCAGCACACAATACAAGGAACAGAGTCTTGCCTCCCTCCCTTGCTGCTTTTGTTATTTTGTGGGTGCCATGACCAGTTTCTCCTCTGCAATGCCCCTCTGCCACACCGTCCTACCTTGGATCCAGCCAATTATGGACTGAAACCTCTACAAATTGTGAGCCAAATAAACCTTTCCTCCTTTAACTGCAAGTGTCGAGTATTTTATCTCAGCAACAAGAAAAATAACCCTGTAGGCCCAGTTATTACATAGGCTGAGACAAGAGGATTACTTGGGCCCAGGAATTGGGAACCAACCCGGGCAACATAATAAGACCCTGTCTTAGAAAAACAAAAAACAAAAAACACAACAAACAAAACATCTGTAATTTTTCATATTGCAAAACTGAAACTCTTCACCTACCAAATTACTCCCTTCTTTCCCCTCCTCCACCCTTGGCAACCACTATTCTATTTCCTGTTTCCATAGCTTGGGTTGCTCTTAAATATGAGACATAAGTCAGATCATGCAGTCCTTTGTGAGTGGCTTATTATATTCTCAAGATTCATCTATATTGTAGAATGCAACAAGATTTCCTTCTATTTTAAGGCTCCATGATATTCCACTATATTTATAAAACATATTTTCTCTTTTTTTAATAAAACATACTTTCTTTCTCCATTCATCCATTAATGGATATTTGGGCTGCTTCCACCTCTCGGCACTTGTGAACAATGCTGCAATGAACATAAGTTTGCAAATATCTCTTTGAGATCCTGCTTTCACTTCCTGTGAACACCAGGAAGCGGAATTGCTGGATCATATGGTAGTTCCACTTCTGGAGTTTTGAGGAAGCTCCACACTATTTTCCACAGGGTCCGCATGATTTCCACCAGCAATACAGTTTCTCGACATCTTCAGCAACGTACATTATTCTCTTTTTTTTTTCTTTTTGCCTTTTTGAGACAGGGTCTCGCTATGCAGTTCAGGCCAGCCTTGAGCTCACTTTGTAGCCCAGGCTGGTCTCAAACTTGCAACGATCCTGCTGCCTCAGCCTCCCGAGTGCGGGGATTACAGGCATGGGCCACCATGCCTGGCATAGTGTATGTTATTTTCTGGTGTTTGATTTTTTTGGATTTTGGTAGTAGCCATCCTAAACAGGTGTGAAGTAGTATCTCATTGTGGTTTTGATTTGCATTTCACATTGGTGACATTGAACATCCTTTCATATGCTTGTTGGCCACCTGTCTATCTTCTTTGAAGAATATCTATTGAAGTGTTTTCCCTATTTTTTTTAACAAAGTTGCCCCCCCCCCCACCGTTGAGTAGTAGGAATTCTTTGCATATTCTGGGTACTAACCCTTTATCAGATTATAATTGGGCTAAGCGTGTTGGCTCACGCCTGTAATCCCAGCACTCAGGAGGCTGAGGCAGGAGGATTACTGGGAGTTCAAGACCAGCCTGGGCTACAAAGTGAGCTCAAGGCCAGCCTGAACTGCATAGCGAAACCCTGTCTCAAAAAAACAACAACAAAAAAAATTATAATTGGCTTTCCCATTGTATAGATCATCTTTTCACTGTGTTCTTTCTGTTGATAGACAGGAATTTTTAGGTTTGAGGTGGTTCTTGTATTGTTTTTTATTTTTGTTGCCTGTGTTTTTGGTATCACATCCAGAGAATTACTGCCAAATCCACCTGTAGGAGGATTTCCTCCTATGTTTTCTTCTAGGAAGTTTAAAGAGTAGGTCTTTCATTCACTGTGTGTGATGTAAGGTAAGAATCCAACTCTGTTCCTGAGTGTGTGTGTCTCCTGGCTTTCCAACACTGTTCTTTAGAGAGATTGTTCTTTCTCCACTGTGGTCTTGGGGGCACTGTTGGAGATTGTTTGGCCATGGATATGAGGGCTGATTTCTGAACTCTAGTCTAGTTGTCTGTTTTTATGCCAGTAGTCACATCATTTTGATCATTGTAGCTTTGTAGTATATTTTGAATTCAGGAAATATGAGGTTTCTGAATTTGTTTTTCTTTTTTAAGATTGTTTTGGCAATTTAGGGTCCCTTGAGACTCCATATAAATTTTGGAATGGTCTTTTCTACTTCTGCAAAAGATAAAATGCCATTGTGATTTGTTTTGTTTTGTTTTGTTTTGTTGTACTGGGGATTGAACCCAGGGCCTTCAACTAAGCTATATTCCCACTCCTTTTTTCTTTATTATTTTGAGACAAGGTCTCACTACACTTCTAAATTGCCCAGTCTGGGCTCTAATTTATGATCCTCCAACCGCCCAGAGTGCTGGGATTATAGGTGTGCACTACCGTTCTCCACTTATTTTACTCTTTTTGATGTTATTGTAAATGAGATTGTATGCTTAACTTCCCTTTTGGACTGTTCATTGTTAGTATATAGAAGCTTCTGTGTCCTGCAACTTCCTTAAATTCATTTATTAGTATTAGAGAGTGGGGTTTTGGGGGGAATTGTTTGTTTGCTTTTGTTTTTGTCTTTCTGAGACAGGGTTTCATTATGCAATTTAGGCTTTTTTTTTTGTTTTTTGTTTTTTGTTTTGTCTCTTTGAGACAGGGTCTCCCTATGCAATTCAGGCTGGCCTTGAGCTCACTTTGTAGCCCAGGCTGGTCTCGAACTCACAACAATCCTCCTGCCTCAGCCTTCCGAGTGCTGGGATTACACACATACGCCACCACGCCCTGCACCAGGCTGCTTTTGAACTCACTTTGTAGCCCAGGTTGGCCTCAAATGTGCAGTGATCCTCCCACCTCAGCCTCCCAAGTGCTGGGATTACAAGCATGCGCCACCATACGCGGTGTTAGTATTACAGGTTTTTGTTTGTTTGTTTTTGTTTTGTGAAATCTTTAGTCTCCCAGGTATAAGATGTGTCACCCCCAAAAAAGATGATTTCACTTCTTCCTTTTCACTTTGTACCCTTTTTTCTTTTTCATGCCTAATTGCCCTAAGACTCCTAGCACTCGTTGAATGTGTACATGCAGCAAGAGTCAGCACTCTGGCCTTCTCCTCGATGATAAGGAAGAGCTTTCCTTTTTTCATGTAGAGTTTGATGATAACTGTGAATTTTATACAGTTTTAGTTTTAAAATTTAAGATTTGGGACTTATTTTGAAACATTAAATTTGGCAGACACTAGTAAGGCATTAGAAATGATATCCCAGCTGGAGATACAGCTAAGCAGTAGAGCACTCAACTAGCATATGTGAGAGAGAGAAGTAGATAGAAAAGAAGAAAGAGGGAAAACAAGGCAGGTTTCCAGCTGGCCAAGTGGAATCAACTGGCAACCAAAAACTCTGCATATACCTTTTTTAGATGGGGCTGTATGGAGACTCATGGGACATACTGTCTTGTGAGCTATCCTTGCAGACTAAGATTTCCATAGAAATGATTACTATGCTCTACACAGGAAGTACATCCAATCTAGATGACCAGTGAGAAGCCATTCACCTGGATGATTCTTTAAATGCAACCCTGATGTTTTGTACATATGAGCTCAAAGATCTGGCTACTATAGTGAATGGGGACATCCCTAGATCTACTGCAGAGGGAGGAGAACTTGTAAAAAAGACGAATCACTTTCTTCCTAGGCATTTGATGGCTTTGGAGACTCAGGATATCCAAGTATAGAGATCTTTCCTCTCCAGATATGAATAGGAGGCAGTAGAAGGAAAAGCAATCAGAAAAGAATAAAGTTAAAAAAAAAAAAGAATAAAGTTTATTCTGATAGACAAGTCCCAGGATCACATTCTGTGCATAGAGAACAGACCTTCATCAAGTAAGGGAGATGGGTTAGCTACAAGAGCTTGAGAAATACTACCTTAAAGAGGACCAAGGTGCATCTGGTGCTGTGGCTTGTTTTATGCTTGGTTTTTAAGTGATAAATTGATTTGGGATTAAGAGAGAGACAGAAGCTTGGTTTATTCACTCACTAACCCCTTCCTGAGGATTGGTGATGGGGAAAGAGACACCTGCTGAGTAGCCACCATAGGCTATGGAGGGGAGAAGGCTCAGGCCCACAGAAAGAGGCAGAGGTAAACAGCATGAGGCAGTGAGGAGAGAAAGCTGTGAGGCAATGCGCACAGCTAACAATTTAGAAATTCCCCTGCAGCATTTGCAGTGTCTCCTCAGAAACAGTCCCTGAGCGCACAGCCCTCTACAGCGCATTAGCAGTTTGTAGTCCACGCCCTCGGGTGCTTTCCCCGCATCCCCGTCCTCATTCCTGACCCTGCGTTCCATGCTGCTGTCTGGCCTTACGGTGACCATGACTGTGTGCACGATGGGAAAGAGCAACCGCAAGGCAGACAAAGAGATGGACCCAAGACAGCGCCAGAGAGAACGCGCGAGGCATGAGGCTTTAAACACAGCTGCAGAATTAAAACAAAAATGTCAAGGGAACGGAGTGTTCCAGCTGACTGAACTTCCTGTTGACGGCCTCTGGGGAGGAGGGTGAGGCCTGGAGCCGAGACCTGGGGGAGAGGGAGGGCCGGGGGTTGAAGGAGGGAGACTTGCGACTCCAGACGCCAGCCTGTTCACCCTCGGGTTGGGGCTCCCGTCTGTGGGGGTGTTGACACTCATTTCCTGCAGCTGGTCACGGTCAGGGGAGGCTTTCTCCGCGAATGAGCCCACCCTACAGAAAAACAGGATGTTAGCTTTCAGAGCTAATGGAGCCGTGAGATGCAAATTCCTTCCTCGCCCCATGCCCAACCGCTGCCACCCACACCATTCCCCCCTTCCGCTCTGCTGTGTGGCTTCCATCAGGGGCTGCCCGGCTGTGTGTGATCAGATTTACTCATTTCATTCCAGTTTCCAATTTATGGTCTTTTTGATGAGGAGTCCCTTACCCGTCCCTGGGTGGCTGATGAGAACGAAATTTGCCCTCTCGAAGCACCTGTGTGGCACCGCCCCTGAGCCTCCGGGCTTGCCCGGGCCCCTTTGCCTGCAGGCTCTCTGTGGGGCAGCACAGGCTGTGTCTCTTTCCTGTTCACACTCGCCCCTTCTCTTGCTCCTATCTGCCCCCTGAAAGCCCTTTCTTGTGCAATGAAGGAAACAGGAACAGGAAATACAGAAGCAACCCTGCTTAAATTCATTATCTCCACAAGGCAAATGTTACCTGCTTCTACAGGGGCCAACACCAAGCGTAAACCACTTCTAGAATAGCATTCTGAGTGGCCGAGGTCAGGGTCCACCTCCTCCTGCCCTGCACCTTCCTCACCCCTCCACCCTTTTTGTTGTGGCCTCCTAGGGAGCCAGCGCCTCCAGATGCACCCTGCTGCAGGACATTTGCTAGTATACTTAATTTGCATTCTGATCCCGATGTTCAAGGATCTATTGCTGCGCTCCCTGATATATGACAGTCCTGCAAGCTAGGGCCTCTCTACCTGCTTGGTAGAGACTGCAGCCAACATGAAAAGGTTTTTTAAAAGTTTCAAAGGATCAGGAAGCAGAAAAGGTGAATGAGGATAGCTGAGTTTAGGCAGTGTCGTAATGATATGACCCATAAGGTCATAATGGTGTGGCAGAATCACAGAGAAGACTTTGGAGCCAGGGGCTATAAAGGGGTGAGTGCAGGGAAGCTAGTTGCTGTGTGGTAAAATGTAGAAAAGATGCTTAGATCCTTGACTATGCCAGAAAATACCCTACGTGCATGTATTTGTGCACTGTTTAGTTCTGGGAACGTTAAAACTGGTTTTCAAAATGGAAAGACACTATTCAAATAATGAAATTTATTTAGAATTGAGGTATGAAGACTTTCTTCCTCCTTTTTCTTCTTCCTCATTTTCTTCTCCTTCTTCTGCTTCTTCTTCCCCTCCTTCTTCCTGCCTCCCCTGTCCCTCCTCTCTCTGCCTCCTCAGGATGGGCAAACATAAAATACAGAATTGGATCTGAACTGAGACTATCCAAAAACTATTGCATGAAATACAGATGTGAAGAAATGGGACAAAGATGAGTGTTTCCTCTGAGGTTAGGCTATATCCAAACAGAGACACTAATAAGGAAAAAAAAAAAAAAAACAGTTGGAAATCACAAGCAGGGAGCTTTGCACTGAGAGGTGAACTTGAGATCATGCTGTGAAGAAAATGTGCAACCTGGACCCACTGCTGCTTATTGCTACCATGCCCCTGTGTCTAGTAGTGACCCCGTGTCTAGCACACTTTCTCTGCACTAGCGCCATTCTGAGCATTTCATGTGTCCTAGCTCATGCGAATCTTACAACAACCCTGTACGGTGAGTTCTGTTAGCCCCATTTTACAGAGGAAGAATCTGAGGAGCAGAATGTTTAAGTACCTCAGCGAAGAACACAGCTGGGCCCAGGAAGGCTGTCATCAGAGCTGACCTGAAGCTGCTATGCCACAATCTGTCTATTACAACACTCTGTTGTTACTACATTTTTAGGTGACCACGCAAGAGCTGGGTTACAACATGAATTTCCTACTGTTTTGCACGTGGCTAGTATTCATTCATCCACCCAAAACGTATGTACACCAAATCTGAACCCAGCACTGACCACAGAACTTTAACCAAGGCGTTCTGGAATGGAATGTGTCCTTATTAAGCTTGAAGTTTAGCTGCAGATAAAGAAAGTAAACAGGCAATTACAAATCCCGGCAATGACAGGGGCAGGATAGGTATGAGATGGCAGTCAGGAAGCAGCTCTGTCCCAGCTGGCTTGGGATGGAGGCAGGGTCAGGACTGCCTTCCTGCAGGAAGCCTGAGAATGGCGAGATGAACAGGAGTCAGCCTGCTGCAAAGCAGGGATGCATTCCTGGGAGGCAAGAGCCCCCTCAGAGGCTCTCCCTTCTGGAGTTCAGAGCACTGGAGCAGGGAGCTGACATTTGTGTCAGGAGATGGTGTGAAAAGTCGTGTAAGAAGTCAGGCTTGCCAGGCATGGTGGTGCATGCCTGTAATCCCAGCACTTGGGAGGCTGAGGCAGGAGGATCATTGGGAGTTCGAGGCCAGCTTGTGCTACAAAGTGAGCTCAAGTCCAACCTGAACTGCATAGTGAGATCCTGTATCAAAAAAAAAAAAAAGACAAATAAATAAATGAAGCCAGGTTTTATCCTGAGCATGCCTGGGAGTCAGTCCATCTTTAGAAAGATTATTACCTGTGGGTTGCAAATGTACCTGTGGTACAAAGGGATGCTAAGCAAAATCAGAGACCAGGAAAATGTGTAGGAGATATGGAGCCATGGGAACCAGGGTGCTTGTTTAGTCCAGCTGTGAGCTGCTGGTGGGTCTGATGGAGGGAGAGTCACGTTGAGATGTTTCTGAGCTGGGATTACAGCGCCTGGTAGGTAAAGATTAAAGAGAAACCTCAAGAGCCTCCCAGGTTTCCGTCACCAGCTAATGGGTGCACAGAGAGACCATCACCGGAGGGAAAGAGGAACTAAACAAAACATGGGGTTTTAGGAGATTTTTACAAATGCGTACTTTGCTACAGAGGAGCACAAGAATTCACTGCATGGAAAAATTTCACATACACCCCTTCTGGTTACCCACCTAAGGAGATAGAGGAGATAAGCCACTGGCACGATTTGGGTACTATTCTCATCATCTGCTTCATTTTATTAGTGCAGGATCATTGGAGATATTCGTGATAAGGCCAAGAGGATGACAGCCAAGTTTAGACAGGTCTTGCTCAATGCAAGATACTGACTCGTTCTGGTACGTGCCTTTAGTAACAGCTCTAGACATTACTAGGAATATCCCAGAACTGTGATGTGAAAGAATTTCACGGAAGCATATCTTTATTTCCGTACTTATCACCCCATCTATGTTCTACAACACATCAGTTCTTTCTTCTTTGTTAAGAGTAAGAGCTGAGGGGCTGGGAATTTAGCTCAGCAGCACAGCGCCTGCCTGGTAAGCGCAAGGTCATGAGTTCGGTTCCCAGTGCCGGAAAAAAAAACAAAAAAAAAAAAAACAGAAAAAAGAGTAAGAGCTGGATGTGGTGGCACACACGTGGAATCGCAGCACGCTGGAAAGCTGAAGTAGGAGAGTCACTAGTTCAAGCCCCAACTGGTCCGTTTAGTGTTGAAGTGAGTCCCTGTCTCATAATAAAAAAATTTGAAAAGGTACAAGGAAGTAGCTCAGTGAGAAGGCCCGGGATTCAATTCCTAGTACTTCAAGGGGAAAAAAAGAAAGGGGCTGAGGATGAAGCACAGTGGTACAATGCTTGCCTAGCATGAGTACAGCTCTTGGGATCAACCCCAGGGAAAAAAAGAAGGGAGGGAGTATCTATACCACTGGCTGTTTTATAGTTAGATAGGAGCTAAGGCACTTCAAATTCAAGCAGTGATAACTCTTTTTTTTTTTCACTTAATTTTTTTTTCCTTCCTAAAGTAGTTTTTAGTAGTTTCTTGCTCGCTATTACTGCCTCCAATCCTTCCAGGTCTCTCTGTCTTCTGTGTGTCTCTTGGGTTCTGCCCCGCTCCGCCCCCCCCCATGTGTGTATGTGTGTGTGTGTGTGTGTGTGTGTGTGTGTGTGTGTGTGTTTCTTTCTGACCTTCCCTGCTGGTCTCTTTCTCCCCACGTCCGCCTCCTCCTTGCACTTGTGTGTCTCATTTTGTCTTCTTCTTTTTCTTTTTTTCTGTCTTTTTGAGACAGGGTCTCACTATGCAGTTCAGGCTGGCCTTGAGCTCACTTTGTAGCCCAGGCTGGTCTTGAACTCCCAACAATCCTCCTGCCTCAGTCTCCCAAGTGTTGGGATTACAGGCGTGAGCCACCATGCCCAGCTCCATTTTGTCTTCTTGTAAGTTTGTATTTATCTGAATCAACCAGATGTCTCTGGCTATAAAAAAACACACTGAGTCAAATAGCTTAAAGTATTTAAAAATGCATTATTTTCACATAGCAAGGAGTCCAGGGAACAGTTCCTCCAGGGTGGGTTACCTTTAGTGCCTCAACAAAGTCACTGAGTTCTTCATTCAGTGAACATTAGTGTCAATGGTGTCTGGCTTTGATTTAGGCACACAGGATACATAGCAATGAAAGGAAAGGAAAGGGGAGGGGAGGGAAGAAAATAAAAAAGGAAAAAGGGGGAAAAGGAAAGAGAAAGAAAAGAAAAATATCCATGCCTGTGACATTTATATTCTGGCTCTTCACAGCTTTGCCTCATGGTAGCAAAGTGGCTGCATCAGTTCCAGTTAGCATTATAAGCAGGATCACACACTGGACTTAGGAAGCCTTTCCTTCTGTATGTGTTTGGTACTGAGGATGGAACCCAGAACCTAGCACATGCTAAGAGAGTACACCACTGAGCTACACCTCCAGCCCTTTTTATTTCTTTAGTTCAAGGCAAGGTCTGGCTAAATTGCCCAGGCTGACCTTGAACTTGGCCATTTTGCTCCCTCAGCCTCCTTAGAAACTGGGATCATGGGCATGTGCCACCTCACTCAGCTGTGTGTGTGTTTCTTTATCATGAATGACAAAGATTTCTCCTTTTGTCTCAGGCAAAATTCCTTACCCTTCCCTAGAAGGGTTCTATCAAGGGGAATGGTATTAGTTTATGCCACAAACTTTGAGAAAAATCTTAAGGTTAGTGTAAAGAACTCTGCCCCTCCCCCTCACTGTAAACCCCTCACCCACGGTTCCTCTCAGCATTGCTGGATGTCCACCTAACCATTCCTTTAACATGCTCTGTAGTCAAAGAAGCCATGTGGGAAGCAGGCACTGGACCAGTCATCCTGTGATCCTGGCCACCTTTCACCAGAATCCCTCCTCGCCCTTTACTGCAACCTGCTGACGTCCATTCTGGAAGGTTGCAGGCCGTCGTGTGGAGGAATGCCTGCTTGTTTGGTTACTCCCATGTTTCTTCCTCATTACATTCAGGTTGTGCCCTGGACTCCCAGAGAAGCACTGCTGTGTTCTCATTGTGCCCCATCAGGTAGCATGTGATGTCCATTTGTCTCTATTAGAGAAGCTTGTTTTGATCACTCAATTAATATGGTGTCCGTCGGCTTCTTCCTCTGCAAAGTTACTTCTCTCCC